TAGTAAGATAACTGTCTTTTTGATTCAGTAAAATGAGGATAATAGTTATTAATTTTGGCGAAATCGGGATTAGCCTGACACCGAAGAAACTTACTAAGTACGGCAGAACCATACTTTTTATTTATATGAGTTATGCCACGGGAGAACCCCAAAATAAGTAAGAGTTTAAAATACATCACTTCAACAACCGGAAAATTTAGCCTGATCAAAAGCAGGTGAAGCCAAGTTTAAGCAATCGCAGTGTACTTCAGAAACAAGGAACGATTTCAGTTTATAAATTATTCTTTGCCAACTTTTTGAGTTTTTTTGTCAAAAATGCATTAAACAGTTTTGATCGCATTTCATTTTACCTTATCAACGATTCGGACGGTAACCAAAACTACAAATATATATATATATATTACTCCGAAGATGAAGGTAAAAAAATCTTATTAAATCTAAAGCATGTAGCAACATTCTTTCCGCTTATGCGTAATTTAGAAACGCAACAGACAGAAGATTAACGATAATCGCAAAATCTTAGTATATATTCGGTCACATTTTTGTGCATTCGCAAGCCTAGAACAGAGCCTGAAAGTAAAAAAAATATGATGAAAAATACTCCAAAATTAAAAGCGAAAAGTAAGTTCTGTCATTTCCAGCCAAAAGTGCATTATTTATTTTCAGGTAAATTTTTAAAAAATCGTCAAAATTCTCCACATCCGCGTTGACATTACCTTGGAAAAAGGCTACGTGCACAGACATTCGTCAGATGAATATCTCGAAAATGTGTTTTTGTTTAGAGAAATTTCTAAATATGGTCCACACGACCATCTTAATAAGGACTAATATCCGAAAATCATTTTTCGTAAATGCTTCTAGTACATAAATACTTCAAAGGTTTTAATATAAAGGTCGAACGGAATTTGGATTTATGGACGAAAGGTTGAAAATAAGGAGAACGCTCGAAAATGGGCCCGAATATAAAGGACGATCTTAAACTAATTGTAATCCAATAAAGGAAATACGGATAAAAATGTTTACTAAAGAAAAGTTACTTTGGTATAAAGAAAGAGGTGTGGTTATCCATTGAACTGACAATAAAATTTAAATTTATTGGTCTGATTTATAGCTATTTTTAACGTCTGTGGAACTTGAGTATTATCATGAAAACTTAATATTTCTTTCAAGTAACAAATTCGCCTAAGGGTGTTCATTATTATTTCAAAGAGTTCGCATATGCGTTAGTGCTGGTTTGCGAGTGATTATCAATACTTTGCAGACTTCGGCGTTTTGCGTGACTTCGCTGCCGTACTGTACTTGCTATGGAACACTGCAAAATGAGGCGCTATACAATGCTTCATCTGCATTCTCGCGTCCTTCAACATCCCTTTTACTTCCAGCTGCTACGTTTTAAAACAGGGAGAGGGTGCCCACATGAGTTGAATCCCGCTGTTTGCGGAAACCGCAGTTAATAAACGCACGAGAAGCTGGGAGCCAATCTTCAACGCGCTCTCTCTTTGTGGCCGCTCGGGTCCCGTATCATACAAAAAAGGCACAAGTCTGCTCCCTTAACAAGGCCGACAGACATAATCAGCAACCAAATTGCTAGTTTCGGCTAAATTACAATGGACGGTTCGTTCACCGCATCAGCACCAGGAAATTTTCACCACAAAGTTAAAGTCAAGGGAGGAGAATGTTTAAAGCTATCTCAGTAATCCGTTACGTTGGGTTTTAAGTGACTTATCCCCACAACTTGTAAAAAAGGGAATCAAAGTAAATCCAAAGGTAAACGGTGAGGATTGAGGTGAGCGTACCCTTGTCAAATGGTGTAAACTGGAAACCAGGATTCAGAGCCATCAGCTTCCCAGGGGTTGCAGTCTTTTTGAACTGGCCATCCGCTTTCGAGGAATCGAACTAGAATACGCGTATTAGCACCAGTTATGGAAAAAATTGATGTTTTTAACAACATCCAGAAGAATGCATAACAGCTGACATAAAGAACCAACAAGGTGGTGTCAGTTAACAGCAAAACCTCGAAAATGCAAGAGGAATCTGAATCACTGAGTTCGTGAATATGCGGAGCACCAGAGCAGAGTCCGTGTGCTCACTGGGTGAGCACAATAATTGCAAAACACTGCATCGTTGAGAATTGATCATCGACAGCAAAAATAATTGAGCTATGAGTGGAACGCCAACGTAACTGGTATTCCGGATATTTAGACTTCCCAATAGTGTGGAAAGAATACTATTATCACTACTTTAAAACCATCTTAGAAAGACCTTTAGGTCAAAACCCAATAATGGGCACTGGTGATTCTGGTGCCGCCAGATGTGCAAGCAGTTGCATTTAAAGTAGCCGGAGAGGAAAGAAGTCTTAAAAAGAGATTAAAGAAACGCCACATGGAAGACTGTGAAAAAAGGATACAGTGAGTTGCTTGCATCCCATTGAGCTTGCAATAACCTCAGCTGCATGCTTAATTGAAACTTCATTGGCCTCTGGAACCGAAAGAATAATGGGATCTGGATCATTGTAGTGCCTGAGGGCCCAAACGAAGAGACGTCCCAGGTCGATAGAGTAGATAAACTGACGAAGTGGTGTGCCAGAGCCGAGAACGACAAGTGGTTGATCCGACTCTGCACGGAAGAGTATTAACATGGATTAGGTAACGATAGCTTTTTTTAGACTATTCGTTGCACCTTTTAGCAAGCCAAAGGACTCACTTTTAGCCAGATAAGCCTTGTGTATGAGGGCTGGCAGCACATGACCAACCTGCAGGTTGAAGTTGTCATGTGGACCAAAAACGTTGGTCGGTATCACCGAGGTGAACACCGTGCCATACTTCTCACTGTAGGCACTGTAAGAAAAAACATAACGAAACCATGCCACTTTTCATTAAACACAGCTACAGCATGCGAACCGATAATAGTGAACAAAATTTTATAAATATGTCTACGTGGGGCTTAGACCAGGGCAGCAGAATAAGACAGAAGCCCATATTCAGTCCTGCAATGTACACAGACAAGAAAATAAATGCCAGGGCATTGCACCTAATGACAAAAAAGCCCTAATCTGAGCTCTAGGTCTTTTCAGTGGGCTCCGAATGGGTAGCAGAAGTCACGAACAACCAGGACAGCAGACAAAGAGATGAGAGAACGCAGGGAAAGCAAGATATATGAGGATCTGAGTTTGGCTTATTATGTCTTAATTCACTCGAGCATGGGGTTGATCACCATGAAGGGCAAGAAAAACATCGAACATTTACCCGTCGCGTCTGACGAGGTCCACAGTGGGCTCCACAACATGACCGTGCAGGGCGAGTGACTTGCGCGTGCATCAGTTTTAAGTGACAATGGA